AGCTCGGGCGGTCCCAGCTCTTCACTCGGGCCAGTGATTAATGTTTGGCAAAAACGCGAAAATGCGAATGCGAATCGCAGTGGGAACGCGAATGTGAATGCGTTTTTAAGAACTTTGACAAGGTCCTGACTTGAATGCCGCATTCCAGCCCCTTTTCAGGGTTCATTTGTTACACGGAGAGAAATTATAGGTAAAATTATATAGTATATATTTATATATTAAATGATGTTAATAATTAGATGTATATTAATAAATTAATACTGAAATTATAGCATATGTGAAAATGGGGTTTAGATGGGAAATTTCGCGAATTTCTTAAGGAAATATATAGAAAAGTTTATAAGATATGCAAAGGGTATTTTATGAAACATAAATTACCAAATATTATTAAGAAGTTTTCAAATATAAATGTTTATAAAGATGATTAATATATTTTTATACTACTAGGTAACATGCTTAGTATGAATAAACTATTGTACTTGTTTTTCTAATTTTCATCTTTCTTTTCCCTGATTTCTCTCCCTGTAGGCAACCCTTTTAGCATTTGGCAACAGTTGGTCCTTGGCCTCCCATATGGCTCTGATAGAGTTATTACCGAAATGTACCGCTCCTTATCCTGGCCAACTCTCGATCTCGTTCTCGTTCTCGTTCTCACCTCTATCGCTCCATTCTGCCAGTTAAAAAGTCGCTTGGCTAATTCTCTCATTTGCTGGCTCTTGTGCAACTGTCGATGCTTGATTTTCGCTTGTCTTTATGATCGGCCTGCCGGCTTTGATCTTGACGCCGAGATGGACCCCTTTCCGCCCGATCGCGGGTAATGGAATGGTCAGAGGAGAAAAATGCAACTTGAGCTCAATTAGTGCTCATCAAAAGCGTGCAGGTAACACCTTCAGTGCGTTGCTTTCGCACACCTCTTCGGTATCTGAGTATCTGTAGTGGTAGTGGTGTATCTGAGTATCTTTGTATCTTTTAGCTACACAGATATATCTCCTGGCCAGACGTCACTTGCTGTTCCTTCTCCCGACTTCTCTGACTTTGACTCTAACCGGACCAAGCGAGGTATGCAATTTGCTTGAGGGGTGACCCATGATGATGATGGACCACCCGAGTGGTACCGCTTAGTATGGTATAATGTGGAATACCACGGCTTCTTGCTGACTAGGTGTCCATCCCTGAGGGCCTTAGGTTAGTGAAAGCAAATCAGCCAGTTAACCATATATACTTTTTTAAAGCCCGCCACGCAAGTCTAGCTGCTGGCTAGCTGGTATTAATGCTAATACTTTATGGTTATCCAGCACGCAAACTCATATTTCTCTGCCACTTTTACTACTGGCGAATTATAATTTCTTGAATAAAAAGATTTTTGAGGCGCAACCGTTAATTAGAGAATTTATGCCGAGCGCCGGCCAACTTGTCAACTTGTTTTCGGCCACCCGAAGGCATTTTTGCAATATTTCATGCATATTTTATGCGACGTTAGAACAGTTTTGCGCCCGCAGTCATTTTTCTCGATTTTATTGAGGCAAACGAGTCGTCTCTCGCCTTATAGCATTTAATAATAATAAACAGATATAGTATGTGTGAATATACTATATACTACTCACTGGCTGTGTTTTAATGTCATTAACGAACATTTTGCTGAAAACGCTGTGCAGCTATTAATCATTTGAAATGAATTTATATTCTAGACTTTGGCGGGATTTCTTTTTGTTTGCTTGATTTATGTGTAGTCTGAACTCGCAGCTTGTTGACTTTTGCCAGAGGTTTTAGGCTATTGAATGGGTTTCTGGGGAAGCATTTAAAATGAATGAAATTGCAATTGTAAGTTTTTAGTTTGAAGTGTTTATACGCGATGGATGTTTAGTTTATAATAAACCAATATAAAATCTTCCTTTATATAACAATAAATTAACACCGAACATTTGTTATTATCCAAATGGCTGTGTGCTAAATTGTTTATGGGCTTCGATGCACGCAGCACTTCCATTTGTTTTATCAGCGGACTAGATTTTAATAATACTATACACGACGATCTCGAGGCAAATATTTGAACAGCAATTACAGGGCAAGTGGCCACTAATGCGAAAGATGGGAATCTATCTAGAACAGCTGATAATATATAATACCTATATAGAGGGCGTTATAAGCCAAGGCACGCCATGTAGAATCTGAAAATGCTATTACCCCAACCCATGATTGGATATATATATATATATTTTTTGGACCGGTTATGGATCGTTTGATTTGACGTGACTGAAAATTACCTTCTAACAGCTAGCTGGGATCCATTTGCTTGGTAGTTAGCACACGACCTGTGCCGATTTCCAATTATAACTATAATTTATGCTCAATCCGCCACTTATTTACATTTTTCGACTTTGCTCCCATTCAAAATTAAGTATACGTCTAGTTGAACTAATTAGGTTTGACTCTTTGGGCAGCAGCACAACAAAAATAAAAACCTCACACCCTGAGCAATTTCATTATTACTTTGCTCCGCCCCGCGACCTTTTCGGCCCGCATGTTGTAAAATGTTTACACTGCTATCTGTCAAATCAACTGTCAACCCGAAGTGCCATCATCATTCTGAGTTTTGTCTGAGTTTATTTGAGTTTGTTTCAGTTTGTATGGCTATCTCAGGGGGTCTGTAAATGTATCTGGTTGCGGTGCGTTTTGTGGTTCATGCTCGGCTGGGTCGCTGTCTTCGGTCGTTTGGTCTTCTGCGCCTCTACAACTGCCATTGCCGCCGCCTTTTGTCAAGTGGGAAAAGTTTTAGTAATTAAATTGTAATTAGGGATGCATCCGCCGCTCAGTGCTGTGCCGTTTGTGCGTTCAATAATGCGGCTGTCTGTGCCAATTGTCTTGGCGTTTCATCAAGCCAGCCAACAGCATTTCAACGGCAGCCAACGACAGCCCGTGCTGATCACCCCTCGACAGGGCTTTCTTTGTGACCAAGTCACCTCCCCTTTGTTCGGCCACTAATGCTAGGGGTATACCCTGTAAAATGGGGAGTTGTGAGTCACTTTTATATCTCTTCTTGAGAACGTTTTTCTTTTATGTGCTTAAAATTTATGGTATTTAATTTTAAGAATAGCTAATTAACGCTTTATTAACTTTAACACGTTTTTAATACGTGGGAAAGACGAATAAATGCATTTTAAGGTAAATCCAAAAAGTCTTTAGTTTAGGATGAATAATAAATCTGTATAGGAAGGGCAACTTCAGAAGATAGAAAGTAAATTGAAGTAACTATTTTAAAACCCTAAAGAGAAGGAATATTTATAGCTCAAGTCAAGTAAGTTCTTAGACTTACACTTATCATTAACTTATTGAAAGCTAATTTACCTGATATACCCTCATCTTCATAATTTAAAATTTATCAAAAGGGTAACTATATTTCGGTGATGACAAAGCCCTAGTACTCCTAATTGACGAGACCTAACGACAGGTTCATTGTTCAAATAGCTGCAACTTTTCAGCCATTTTCATTGTAATTATTTTGTATATACCTCATGGCCTGGCTCTTTGGTTTATCAGCTTGGCAATCGTCATGAGCGGTGAGCATGGGCTAAAGTGGAGCTACGTACGATGGTGTTGCAATGGGAGTTGTCGCTGCTCCTAATTACCAGGCGGAAGTGCCTCAGATCTCTTCCCCCTTAACTGGCCGGTTATGGCTTTTGATCAGTCAGGAAAATTGCCCAGCAGGAAGGGTCCATGTGAATCCCCTTAACTCCTCTCTCTGCTCTCTACAACACCGGATGCTGTCTTGGGAAAATGTAATACAATTTTCGCAAAACTGCGGCGCTTAAGTGCAGCTCAGCGATAATCATAATCATCTCGGGCGGCACTCAATGCCAGTAGCAGTTGATCAACCGATCAACCGATCAAATCAGCTGATGCTGATTAGATGGCTCTGCTGCTCTGTGGCAATGTTGCAATCCAGCAATACGGCAATCCGGAGTGGAGCACGAACCAATTGCCTGCTGTACGTGCGCCGCGTAAATTCAATTTCAGTAGCTGATGAACAAAGCGCAGACCATGGGTTCGCTGATGGATTGCCGGCTGGTGCACTTGAAAAAAATGTAGACTAGTACTGCTTTCCCTTTTCTATAACAACTTAATACAACTTGATTTTTATTTCCCTCTTTATTTTGTGTCTTAAAATTGTGGATATTCAAAATAAAGACATCGTAATATGTCGAGCAAAGTTAAAGTTTCCTTTTTCTTTAGTTTTTAGAGAAAAATATAGGTAAAATATTTATAACCATAAACTTAACTCTTAAGTAGCTTCTCCCTCTAATTCAAGCGGATTGCGTTTTTGTTTCGAGTGTGGGATGAATCGGTTTGCGTCTGCGACTTAACGAGAAATCAACGCCGCTAAGCAAATTATGCCGAACGATACGCATGCGCCAGAGCCATCAGGCTGACTATAAAGTCTGAATCCGAGCTATGGAGCTCCATCATATCATCGGACTTGGGGTATTGGCTGAGTCTGGGTCTGGGTCTGGGTCTGGGAAAGGCAATTGCCATCAAAAGCGATGCCGAGCGAGAGCAGCCAGCCGGCCTGAAATTGATTTAGCCACCTCGCCAGCCGACCAGACTGACCTCACTACTGTTTTTACGCCTTAAGCAGAATCTCATCAAGGCGTAATGACAACAATTGATCAATCGCTGGCCGGGCTAATGGTTATGATGGGTCTCGTTGGGAAATCAGTTTATATTAAAATGTAATTTGATTGCGGTTGTGTGAGCAGAGCAAAATGTGAAGTGAAGTCGTGCTGGTGAGCGTTGAGTAAGTGAATCAAAAGATTACAAAAGCTAGTGGCTTTTGTTGGGCAAGTTCAGAGGGAAGATATATATTACACTGCCAGAAATCGTTTCTTTCAATCAGAAGATTAATGTTGTATATTTTTGGTGTAGTTTAACAAAAAGTAAGTCACATAAAGTTGAAGTTCATTAAGAATTAAAAAACAAAGTTACGGCAATACCCCTGTACTCACCTTGTTCTTCGTCAAAGTTCTTGGTAGACAGCTGAAAGAGGGCATCTAGAGGAGTGTCTCCATTTGATTTTCCTGCCCCCGTTGCCTGCTCCTCCGGCGTCTTCTTCTGAGCTTCATCGCCAACCTCTTGGGTGGTGGTTAGTTTTTCCAGTTTTTCCACCTGTCTGGGACTGCAGCAGTCGGTGCTGCCATTGCTACTACTGGATCGCTGGGAACGTTCTGAACTGCCGTCCTCGGAGGCGATGATCGCGGGATTCAAGGTCATGTGGCGGAGGAGATGCGCCTGGGCTTGAAAGTGCTCCTGCAGCTGGCGCTGATAGTCCCAGGCCAAGCGCTGCTCATAACTATGTAGTAAAGCGGGCGACAGAAAAGGATGCAGTGCAGCTGGCGGGGGACAAGTCTGCACGAGAGGCATTTGTAATCTTTCGTTGATTAGCATCAGAGGAGCAGGAACTCCAGGCAAAACATTAGGAACTGTATTCCTTTCTGGCTTCTTCTCCTCACGACCATCTTCGTCTTTTCCTTTTCCCAGGATATCGGCTATAGAAAAGCTCTTGATCCTTACAGGTGATGACTTTTGCCGTTCATTTTCCAGGCTAACAGGACTCCTCAACAGCCGCAAACGCTTCATATTCACGGATCTCATGGGCGGCGGACTGGGTGAGCCCACCGAAATCTCGGAGTTGGCGGGACTGGGTGTTCTTTGCGGCATCTTCAGGTGGATTTTGTTCTCAGCCACTTAGCACATCCTGGCTATAGGTTAAGCGTAAACGATTAAAACGCGTCGGCAAAAACGCGCGGCTGTCACACGAGAAACGTCGGCACAACGTGCAACACAAACACCAACAACGAAAATGGCTCGTGGAATTTGTTGCTAATACTGTTCGCTTCTCTCTCCTGCTCTCTCTTTGGCTCTCTCTCTCTTTTGGCCAACAGAATGCTCTCAACTGGTTTTTGGGGCTCTTCGAAACTGGTTGGCACCCATGACGTCACGGACTCGCGCAGCTGCGCAGCTTGTCTAATTGGAAGTGCCGCCTCGCTCTGGCCAAAGGGGGCGGGGCAGTAGGAAAGAGAGAGACATAGAGTGAGAGAGAGCCAGCCAATGGACCAATGGCAGTTTGGCCAACATCATTTCAAGCCCCTTTAACCCCCTTGAAAAGTCGCTGTCAACATGCGAACGTCATCAATTTGTACAATTTGACATGCGCTCTCTTTTCTTCCCCGTTGCGCCTTTCTCTGTCTCCCTCCTTAGGGTCTTCCTACTCTTTCTCTCCACTTTCCAGGCGGCTGACTGCGTTAATTATCGTAATTGTTGGCTCTCCCGCTTTTTCGCAGCTCTCTTTTGGCCCACTCAATTGTCATCAATAATGATGTCTCGTTGTACCGTTGGCTTCGGCTCCTCATCTATTTTCCGCTGAAAAAGCAAGCCCCTTTGAATCCGTGTTTCGAGACCTCAAATGCACAGGGAAAAATATAGTTTCTTCATTAAGAGGTTAACTCTTTTAAAGCTTAAAAGGTTTAAATTTAGATAATGTTCACTAACTAAAGCAGGCATAGATTTTAAAAATAAGAAAAATATTTCATTTAGAAGATGCTGGGGCAATTAGTTTTCAACTTATAGGTTTTCTTAATGGCTTCACTAAATGAATAATACAAAGTATTAGTATTTTAAATATTAGTTAACAAGAATCAGCAATAATAAATGTGTAGATATTCCATAACTAATCAAATTCCATAACTATAAGCTAATCTCATTATTTTACTATATTTTAAATTAACATAACATGAACGTAAATGAATATCCTTAAAGTTAAATTTATTACTAAAAATGGTATTTATATTAATGAACCTTTTTGTAACTTCAAATCGAATATTTTTGTGTCATGTTTTAACCTGTTTTTATTATAATAATGGTCATGATGTAAGATAACTGTACGAAAGAAAGGGAAATCGTCCATCATATTAATTTAGAAATATAAAATTTTATTATTATTTCTTTCACACATTTTCTCTTAGTGCATTCAGTTGGCACACATTCGTTTGTCTTGCCATTTCCATCGTTTCCCACTCCCCTAAACCCAACTCGATGCATTTCCAAATTGATTGCAACTTTGGTCTGCTTTGGTTGTATCACGTATGCGCCCTGTATGCGCCGCGCTTCGTTTGTTTGTCAGTGTCAGTTTTTTATTCAATTTCGCTCCGCTGTTTGTCCTGGTTTTCTTTTTATTTCTTGCTTTTTCTTGCATTTTGCATGCAAATGTCTATTTAACTGCATTGCGCCCTTTGCCGGTGGGAATGTGACTGGAGAGTTGGCTAAGTGAAATGATGTAACTGCCTAGTCGTAATCGATAATGAGTTCTACTTTATCTCACACTCTTTTTCTTATAAACAAAAAATGGGGATAATTGATTGTTTTTAAAGTCTTTTAGAGTATAAGATTGCCCAAAAATGGAAGATTGAGGTACGTTTATTTATATTATTTTTAAGTTTATATTTACTACCGGGAATTTAGTAATATTTATCAACCACTTATTCATTTAAACTGTTTTCCACATTAATAAATATTTCTCTGGGAGTAAAATTACATTTTAACTGCATAATAATAAAAAAAGTACCCAAATTGTAAGCAAACTAAGTATTACCGCCGATTACCAGTTTATAAAGAAGTAAGTAAGTTATAATTATACCTTTAACCGAATCCAGTTTGCAATCCAGTTTATCGCAGTACCCCAGAAAGGGTGTTCCAGTTTCGGTGTAGGCTCCTTTAACCCCCGTTTATTTCGCTTTTTATGACGCTGTTGCAGTCGTTGTCGGCATTTGCATAAGAGCCCTTGCCCCCTTGCCGCTATTTTGGTTGCAAGATGGCCGCGTTGTTTGATTAATGCCTGCACTTGACTGACTTGACTTGACGGACCAGAGTTTCCTTTCCTTTCGCCTGGGCTTGTAAATTGGAAATTGGCCTCCCCTGTGAGGCATTCGCTATCGTTTTCGTTCGTATTCAAAATCAATTATAAAACGACTCTTAATTGGGCGCCTCAATAGAAGCGACACGCCCTGTCAATCACAATTAGCCATCGCCCCTAGAAACTGGCACTCGAAACTGGCACTCATAGGCCCTCAAACGATCCGACACGCCTCTAATTCTGCAAATTCATAAGCCAAATGCATATCGACTGTATATATCCTTTCATTAGTCGGCCAAAGATGGCGTAGCCGTGTTCATTAAAACCTCATAAATAGCTAAAGTGTTTATTGTCGCATCTGGCAAGCCCAAATCCCCGGAGAGATCTCTTCCACACGGTCCTCGTATTTGTGTAGATTGTCATATTGTCATAATGCCAGGGGGTGCGCGGGTATGTCAGAGGGGTGATCAGGGATGCCAGAGCAGGGAGCAGGAGTCACTTGGTAATAAAGTCATCGCCGTTGTGTCCAAATTCGTCACGCCCCTTCGGCGACGACTACGAGTGTGGCTGCTGGCAATGCATTAATGTCGCCTTTTGTTTTGCCGAACCGATCCTCACCAGAGTTCCAGCTCAACCGCTCGAGTTCCAGTTGCCTTCCTGCTGCTGACGATGATGAAGTTGTGCCAGCCAGTTGTCAACAATCAACAATCAACGCTCCCAAAAAACTGCATGCCAATTATGGCCACAGCTCACAGCTATCCTCAACTTCAACCTCAACCTTTCAGCTGCGCCCCGAAACCGAAGGAAATCTGTGACGAATGCGCTTATGGCCAAAGCGATCCTCGCCTTATCATCGAGTAATCTTCGACACTTGGGACAGCTGTCAGCGTTTTGCCAACTCATTATGCAGATTTCGACCACAAATGCGACACGAAAATGTCGAAAACAATTTACTGAACGCGACGAACAACATTTGTCAATGCGGATCGGATCCGTCTATTAAGACCAGCTCTGGAGATCGCTTAAGTTAAGTAGTCCGGAGAAGCCACAAGGACCACACAGGGGGAAAATATGAGGCATAAATAAATTTAATAATTTATATGTATTTTAATATCTTAATTGCTTATATAATTTTAATAATTTTAATGATATATTTGAGGAAATGGACTTTTTAATTATTTTAGTTATGGCTTTGATTTTTGTTAAATTGATTTGTGAAATAGGGAAAATATTAGGAAAAAACAGATGGTATAAGACCATTAGTCTTGAAGATATATTAGTCTTGATATACAAATATTCAAAATATAAAGTTTACAGATCTTAGTGCTGATGAAAGTCCAAAATTGAGTCCTATTTTTAGTCATATTACAAAGCCCTAAGCTTCTATGTACTATATTAAGTGCACATTTATTGAATTCAAAGATAGTTTAATCATGTTTGAAATATCTAAGCACACCCAACTCTTTAAATTCGCTATACATATCCCTATACATTTTCTCCCAGTGCACCAACAATGGAACTTAACACGAAATGACACCAACAAGCGACTTTCGAGCTACCGCATACAAATTATGGTCTCGAATGAAATACCCCAGCGTTTATCCACAAGATACACAAAATACAAAAGTGCCGCGCCCTGCGGCAGCATACAGAATGGACCTCAACCGAACTTTGGGGCAGTGGCAATTTGTATATCTTTGTGATAAATCAAAACATTATCAATAATAAAATCGGTAGCCGTTTGCCACTTGGAAGCGTTTGGGGCGAAATTAGTCGGCTTTTTGTTGTGGTCAGAAAAAACCGAAAAATCCGAAAACCCCAAAATCCAAACTCGAATACCGAATACCGAAGAGCATTTCTGAGTGCTAGTGCCTGTGTGTAATTTGTATGCTAATTCAGCATCGGGTTGAATGTCTGATGAAGCTTAATGTCAGCCAAAGGTAGATCGAAGCAAAAAAAAAGGGGGCTATGAAAGTGCTGTTGGCGGGGAGGAGGTGGGGATCAAACTAAAGTGACATCCATTAACACTTCTCTCACGGCATGTAGGAGCTGTGAATCTTTTGATTTCCCAAAATATATCTGTCCGCCGCCTTATCAACGTTGTATAGCGGTACAGCTGGCGTCACCTCATTGCCATCAAACGAATTAAGTGGACCCCTCAGCATCGATCTTGGTCCGCCGAACGTGTCCGGCGAATTCCAAGCTCCGTTGACGGACACCTAAGAACCTCTGCTGCTGCTGCTGGAGGCGCCTTCGTGTGTGTTCCCTGCGAGAGATGGGCTAAGTGGCTGATTGTGATGGGAGACCGACCGATCCAAGATGGGACTGTGATTGGAGATGGCGGCGCTGATCGTGTGATCTTATCGTGATATAAATTAGTCGCTACCAGATTGGGGGGATCACCAAAGCTGGTTTGGGTGCGAGTGTAAGACTTTTATAAGCTTTTTAGGTGATCTAAAGAGAGAATGATTTTTGATATAGAAACATTATTCCAAAGAGTCCTGTATACTATTTTACTTGATTAATAATTGAAGTATAAAGTTGAAAATCAGAGGACAAAGATAATCACATGCAAAGTTATGCCTTAACACTTACAATAGAATAATTTCCATCAGAATATCATTTGAAGGGGAATATTCTATCAATACTGTTCGATTTCTATCTCAATTAGTGATAATTGTAGTTGGGTAACTTTGCCTTCAACACACATAATTTACTTCTTATTAAAACCCTTTAAGCCATGAACAAAGTAAATGTTCGTTTTCAACGGCCTTTCATCTGGTTTGGGGCAAATGCTAATGTTGCTTTTCTCAATTTACAACTTCATTAACGCTTTGTAGGATCGCAACGAATCATAAAATTTCATTCATGAATCGGAAAATATTGTTTAGTATATTGTGGGTTTTTCCTTATTTTTTTTTTCTTGATTCTTTGATCGGAATATGCCGCGTCATGATCAAGATGCCGGGATGAATGAATCCAGAAACTAAAACAGAAATCAGAAACTCAGAAAGCAGAAACAAATTGCCATCAGTTGGTACTCAGTTGTTTTTTTTTGGTATCCCCCCGACCTCTTTTCTTTTTGTGCTGCATCATTTCCATGCCCCATGCGGCATTATCCTGTGGCCCAAAACGTGGCCAAGTCGCCGGCCCGAGGTGTCGGCTGTAAGCTAATTGGAAGCGTGTTCAAAGGTGCCGCCAACAAATTAAGTATGAGTTACCAATTTAGCTTTTATATCTCTATCGCACACGCACACATGCCCAACAAGCGGCACATAGATACTCGCACACACACACACACTGGGCAGGAAGAGAGATGCGGATGTTGGACTTGCACTTGGAGTTGGCCTCTTGGGGGTTCCTCGATGCTCGTCTGTTGGGTTTCTCCAAACTGGTTCTGGGCCCGCTCTCTCACAACTTAGTTGTAATTGCAGTCCTTTGATTGCATTTGTGTGCCAAGCTGAATTGTTTACATTTATCATAATCAGCACTCGAAGTCGTTTGTAACCGCCGCGAGGGTAACTTTTCATCTTTTGGCAACGCGGCGCCAGTTAAACTGGAAGTCCGACTTCTTCTCCGAGATGCAGATGCAGATGCAGCCCAGACTGGCACTTGATGTAGGTCGCTCTTCGGGTTGGCCCTTGTGAGTGTTTCTGTGTGTGCCGGCACTTGATCACCTGACAAGGGGGAAACGTTGAGTAATTGCTGACAATATGGCTGAGCAGGGAAGACAACGCGTTTAGTCAAGGATCGGACAGGGCAGCCAAGAAAGAAGGATGGGGTCCCCAAAACAGTTTTTGGCAGGATTCTGTAGTACATAAAGTTCTTATACCTGCTTTGATGGTTTTATTAGTTCCGTTTCAAGATCTAATCAGGAATTTATAGTATATTCTACTCAAATTTGTTTAAATAAACAAGAATAAGAAGGGACTTTCTTTGACAAAGCAACAAGTTTATTTCTTAAACCTATATCTAAGTATAAACATATTAAAAATTTAAAACTTAATGTTTCTAGTAGTCTCCCAACAAATCTACCCTTTCCGCAATGATATAATGATCTCTCCTCGACTATTAATTCTATTAACAGGCTAACGATTTCCCAACTTACTCAACGTTGTAATCATGGCTAACAGCGATTTTACTCACATCTGGGCTCATTAAACCGGGCTGAAAGGCTCATGAAGGCACTTCCACTTAGTGTGTGCGGTAGGTTCATTAGTCATTTTTAGTTGATTCGATTAATGGGTTTCGACATTTACGCATTTCTGTTTGTTTTTCCACGGAAGTGGCCGGAGAGAGATTTTCCCATAATTAGAGCCCAGGCACCTCGATTTGCCCGGCAAATCTTTTCTCAGCTAATAAAACAAATGCCACCGGTAATGGCCACTACAGTAATTTGAACTACAACTCAATTTCAATTAAATGCTGTGCTTCGTTGATACTTTCGCCGTGCCACTTTCCAAGCGCATTAATAACGCCCCAAAAGCCAGTAATCAGAAGCTTTGCGGTGCCACTAAAAGTTTCTTTATCGCGGCGCATGCGTTGCATTGTCACACGTTTGGAAATGAAAATAAATTGGTTTTCTTAGAGTTTCGGATATGGAGCGACGATCTGCATCTCATCCATATGCACGAGGCTTTTCCCGTCTAGTTTACGAACTGTGAGACACCATGGAGTGGGTTTTCGATGGACCAGTTGGCTGGGTCGCATCGGATTGGTATCGAACATCATTAGCAGCGGAATTGATAGCTTGATTATTCAAATGATTAACAAACGATCGGCTTCTGGCCAAGTTCGTTGGGTTCGCTTGAGAGAGAATAACCAAATCGAGACCGAGATTGATGGAGCACTTCAGCCGCGGAGTGCTCGCAGGTCATCTTCTCGGCTTCACAGCATCTCAGCTTCGTCCAGCTTGGGTTTGAAAAATGTGTGTGCGCCGCTGGCGATGATGGGCCACCTTTGAACTTTGCCGCAAACGGTAGCCAGAGAGCAGTCGGCTTCCAGTTGGAAATTTATGAAAATGATCGCAACGAAAATTAATAAATATCGAAATAATTTCGATTAAGTTTCGTATGCAAATTGGCGCCGTGCACAAATCTGCAAACGACCAGTCACATCATCGCTCGGCTTTGCACACTTAAAAGTTTTTTTTTTGGCTGGCAACTCGTTTTTGGTCGTGGCAAGTGATTAAATTAATAATTAATTAGTTTGAATTTATGAATAACGGTTGTAAATAATCATTAATAAAAATTAAAAAAGATTTCTTTTATTTTAAGTCTCTCAGCGACCACTCAGCGAGGCCTCAACAAAATACGTATCAACATCATTAAGATCGATCGGGTAGAGGCCGAGGCAGAGTCAGAGCCAGAAGAATATTCAAATTAGAACGGGCTTCCAGATACACAAATTCGAATTGAACTCACCGACTCGGGCCAACTGGAAGAAGCATTGTTTGCTTAAATATGCTTAAATTTATTGACAACAATTTGCGGTCTTTTGTATCTCCCTTTGTTCGCCTCAAATTATTAATTGGAGTGAAACAGATTTCGCTTTTTAACGCTAATTGGTTGGGGAATACGAGACGGGAGTTCTGTATTTTAAACTTTGTTAATACGGGTTTTCTGTAATTTGAAAAGCATTAAGAAAAGGTAATAAAACCTTGATCATTTTATGGGGATAATTCAGAAAAATGTTTTGTAAAAGAAAAGTTTCTTTAAAATGTTAAGAAAATAGAAAAAAAAATGAAGAAGATCAAGATGGAAAACTCTACATCCTCGTTTTGGTTTTAGTAATCTGATTTCAAGCTAAAGTTTAAGAGCCTTTAAAATTTCAAAGTGTAGCATATAAAATACTAAAAACTCTATCAACATTATTTAAAATTTTGGTAACCAAAACCGTTGTTTTAGAACCTTCAAGTTAAGAAAATCTAAAAATCTCTTTGCGAATCTGCTTGGTGGCTCTAAAAAGAGCCGATTGCGTTGAATATAATCGATGTGATCCTGGCTGTAACGCCGAATCTTGGTTCTGGCTGGTTCCATATGTCCACATCCGGTTACGGTTATGATTGTTCTGGCTTGTTTCTGGCTTGTTTTGGCCTATGTAAAAGGCCTTGGTCCTGGCTGGTTATGCTCCATCTTAAGGCTTGGCTGTGAGTGTTGCCTTTGCCCTCTGCTTTATGGCCTCGGAAGCTGTTAAGGATGTCCTGGCACTTCCTTGGGCCTTCGAATACCTTGGGGATGTCCGTTGGGTGAAAATCAACTGCCCAACTTCCCCGGCACTCGACACAAAATTAAACAAAATACTCGACTCCTCGTTGCTCACTTTCTGTACCAATCATCAGGTTGCCTTGGCGGTTCGGTGCGCACCTGGCCACGCCCTCATTTGGGCGGAGCTCCTCCCATTGGCACGGATCCTGGCACCGGCACCACCATTCCAGCAGCGGCAGCGGCAGCAGCCAATCCCACCATATCAGCCTCATGCATGGGCTTCTTCTTCAGGATACTGAGGTCGTTGACGTTCTCCAGGAAGGATTTGTGGGCAGAGAAGACCTTGACGCTATCGAAGTCCTTCTTCAGTTCCTCGATGTCACGCTTCTGCTTGGCACGGCGGTTCTGGAACCAGGTGATCACCTGGGCATTGGACAAGCCCAAAGAGGCGGCGATCTCATCCCGATCCGCTGGCGACAGGTACTTCTGGTAGAGGAAACGCTTCTCCAGCTCGAAGATCTGGTGGTTGGTGAAGGCGGTGCGAGATTTGCGCTTCTTCTTGGGCTGCGGTCGGTTCGAAAAGATGTCCAAGTGGGATTTATCTAAAAGTGGAAAAGAAATAGAGATGGGTTAGTTACAATGTTTAACTTTTGATTTATAAATGTGTCTTTAATTTCCTTCTTTGGTGTTTAATGGTAGGTTTTTAGCTTAGAAGTAACTTAATATATGTTCTTAAATTTTTGCTAATATAATTTCCTCAAATAACTGATATTAATTAGAGTTAGTTGCCCCAAGTCTGGCCAGTTCTAAGGGGAATTCTGATTCTAAGATGCATGGCATTTGGCGAACCGGTTACTAACGAGCGACTTCGCCTTTGGTTTTAAATGCTGAGCCAAACTGGGCGCGTGTTGATTTAAATGCCGTGATTGATACATTTTATGAATGCGATTGCAAGCGCAATTGCAGTTGCGATTCTGAGATCTGAGATCTTTGAGATTTCAGCTCGCGACTTGAAGTGTATAATTTCGAGTTGATTGATTGCGCGAATTGTGGGCGTTCATTGGCTTTGTGGGTCTAATGACGAAAGCCGAGTTTTCTCAGGCTTGGCGGCTTATGCAAGCCAACTGCTCATTTGTCTCGTTTGTAGTGTGATTTATAATAATTATTGACACCTACAAATCAGTTTTAAGTGGTACATGGCTTGATTAATGAGCCACTGACCCGTACTTAAAGCTCTGATTGAGCTTGCATAACGTTTCCTGGTGCGGGAAAAAGTCCCAGCTGCGGTGCCAATCAAAGCGATTGAAGGAGATCTGCGGTGATCAGTGATCTTCGATCCGTTGTCGCCGATCATCAGCATAAATATTTATTTATTGAATATTGGTTAACCGGTTTGGCCAGCCGATGGCTTCACACCCATTCCGATTGCTTGTCAAACAAACTAGATCGACATTAAAAACTAATTAAATGCCCTCCAACCGAATGCAAACAAAGTCTATAGGGTATGGGTGTGGGTATACCCGTTTTACATATATATCCGAGTATATATATTCAAAATGCATAATTTGGTCATTTGTTATCTCGAGCACGTTTTGTAACCCAAAACCCATTAGGCACTTGACTGCACGCCTCCCTTTCTCTACTCCTAGCCTTTCTCTGGGTTTTTATCGTTGCCTCATTAAGTAATTTCCATGACTTATCTCTGGAGAAAGGGAATCGGGAAAGCAGGCCACTTGGGTATCCTTTTACCCTCTCAGGTGTCCACTTACAGGGCATAAATATGCCTCTAAGTTAGGGGGAGTTTTGTTTTGGTCGCATTTGTCAGACTTTCGTGTACAATATGTTTGGGAAATGCCAGCAGGGAAACCTGATCGATTTTCGAGGAATCTGCAGAGCAACAGTTGGCCACTGGGGGATTTTATGTTTCAATTTGGCGCGAGTACTGGGAATTGCAATTAGGATCAGGCAAGCCAAGGCGACACAACGTCTGGCATTTGTTTTACAGAGAAAAACCAGTTAATACAACCGCAAGAATAAGTTCATATATAGCATGTTTTCCAATTCGAAAACATCGAAACCATCATAGTGCGAGTGATATTAATGGGCACTTGTCATAAATTAAGAGAGACCCATATCCTCGCAGCTGCCTATCTTCCTCGCCTGCTGAACGGCTGCCGCTGATAGACAAACGACGAACGACGCCTCCGAAGATCTGTCGTAAATATTTCGTCCATGGGTTATACAATCCATGATAAACAGTAATATTTTGTCAACTTAATACTCGACGGCCGATATGGGCATTATACAACGGCCGAGTGTCGTCGCTAATCGCCCGTTCAGTGTATTTTAAAACATGTTTACGACTGAAGCTATAGCCACTATATAGTCGGGGCTAGAGTTGGTCGACCATTAGTTTTGAGTAGCAACAAATGGAAACGGCATGTTAATTGTTCCCCCGCCGAGCGCCGAGCTCCGAGGAGCCGCAGCAACAAAACTCGATTAGGTAATGCACTAGCCTGGCTGGCTAATTGTTGCTAATCGCTGCAGAATCGACACGACTTCACAAATATATATACTAATGTGGACAGTGCGCGACTATTAACCATTAATTGCCATGAAATCACTATTTAGTTGAGGGTGGAGTGCGGTGTTCGCTAGTACTAAAACGCCCACCAAATGCCCTCGGATGAGTATCGCTTTGAACTGCTAACCCTAATCCATATATATACTAAATATCCATGTTGAAGTTATTTTTGCTTTGAAAGTGAATTGCTTGCTATCGTTAGCTTGTTCCATTTGTTGCTGTCTGCCACTGGCGCATGCTGCCAATTAATTAAAGTCCCCGAAAACATCGAATCGGTTAAGGAATTTACATAACAAAAGATCTCAAATGGGGGAAGAGGAGTTGCGGGGGAACGAGACCATTTATTTCAATTAAACGAAATTCGAATTTGCTGATTGATAAATGGCAAACATCATAATAAGCTAAATATTCAGCTTCTGCGTTTCCAATTCCCAATTTCCAAACGATAACAAATTAGAAGCTTTTATTCTAATTAAGAAATCGGGTAAATTCATTACGGAAATTGAGACATTTATCAATCGAAGAACAGTGGGGCCAAATCAATATTGATCGTTAGTGATCAGAAAATATATATTTGAAAATATCTTCAAAACAAATCTAATAATAAGTCAAATTTTGGTAAATTTAAAATGGAATGAGATGATGTCTTCAAATTGATTCTAACTTTGATTACCCAAAAAAAGAATAGTTATATTAAACTTAATGACCTCAAACTCAACATAACCTTTCAACTTTGAGTCATATTTCACATCCCTATCTAAGATGCTTACCTTGTGACTCGTCAAAGTCCTTGGTTGTCATCTGGAAAGAGTGCATCCAGAGGAGTACCATTGGCCTTGGCCTTGGCAACGGCGGCCGCATTGCTGGCACTACTGGCTGCTCCTCCTGCTCCGGCAGCTCCTTGTGATGGACTGGACGCATTGTTAGATCCACTAGTTCCAGCCTGAGCCGACGTCTGTGGACTGTGGCTGCGGCGGACACTGGCAGCGGAGGCGGCAGCAGCAGCTGCCGAGTCCCTGGCGATCTCAGGCGAACAGCAATCGCTGGCTGCCGAACTGGAGCGGTCGGAGCCGCTCTCAGAAGGAATGATGTCCATACCCATGTGGCGCAGTAGTTGGGCCTGGGCGTTGAAGTGCTCCTGCAGCTGGCGGTGATAGTCCAGGGCCAAACGCTGCTCGTAGTGCAGCAGGGCGGAGGGAATGAAGGGGCGGACGGGCATGGCCGGACCCAGAAGGTGGTCCCATGGCCGGACAATCTGTCCGCCGGGCAAGAGCATGGCAGCAGCGGCAGCCGGGTGGACATCCAGTGGTTCCGTCCGGGGCTGCAGTAATCCACCGGAAGAGGCAATGGGCCGGGTGGCCGGTGGTGCCAACAAATTGGAATTTGGAGGCGGTGAAACGGACTCCTCCCGCTGCTTCTCGGAGTGACCCAAGATATCCGCAATGGAGAAGCTCTTGACGCCTTCGATGGCCGACTTAGTGGTCTGGTTAGTTTGAGGCTCCGGAACCGTTGCTGCCGGCGGACTGGGCGTGTGATCACGTGGTTCCGAGGAGGACGAAGACATGCGTAGGCGCTTCAGTGGCTGGAAATAGTCCTCCGGCAGATTGCCGACGGCACTCCGGCTAAGTCCGGAGGCTGCTGCAGCAGCTGCTGCGGCTGCTGCGGCCGCTGCGGCGTGGTGCTGCATCAGCAGCTGTTGCTGCTGCAACAGATCGATGGTGCTGGCCCGCGGATGCTGCAGCGGATGCGAGTGCGGGTGCTGATGGTGCTGTGTGGGCAGCGGACTGGGCGCACCACCCACGGAGATTTCGGATTCGGCGGGACTGGCCGGACGCATGGTTGGAGGGCAGAGCATTTAGGTTTGCTACAACACTTGGGGTTTTCTCGGGAGTTTCGCTTGGTTCAAGGAGCACTGAACTGTTTATTTTTTATTTGTAAGACGGCCTTATCACTTCACTTGGCAAGTGGTTACTGAACTAGCCTTCTATTTGAATCTTGTTATTTTTCTTCTTCTGATTAGTGAACACTAATGCTTCGACACGACGACGCTGATCCAATGGCGTAGGACCTCTCAACTCGACGCTTCGCAGTCAACTGTTCGAAACTAGATTGAAGATTGGTTTGCTAACTAGACACGTCGATATTTCTTCAGTTCTTTTGCTGCCACTGCTCTCTGCCGCCTCCTCTCGCTCTCTCACTCTCCTCGCCCATCTCTTTCGCGCCCTCTGGCTGCGTATCGTTCGCTCTCGCTCTCTCAATCAAATCATAACTGTGCTCTCTTCCCGCGAGAGAGAGGAAAAAACCCGTTCTGCGTGAGAGTGAGACAGCCTGTTGTGCTTGCCATCTCACTCTTCTCGGCACTCAGCACCAATCGGCTACAGCAACAAAAAATAGCAATGGTGGCGTATACGTAACGGTAATTATGGCGTTCATCATGCGACTGGTGTGCGAAAGAGACGGCGGCCAGAGAGCGCGAGCGAGATGGAAACTCCTCAGATTGTAACGAGACTGTATTTAGTATTTTAGTCGCTGCAAAGTTTTCACAACTCCAAATTGCGTCGACGGCAACGCAGGCAGCGACAGAGGGGCCTGAAAAACCCCCCTCAGCACTCCCGCCACCCCCTGCACCTATATACATAGTTCGTTTAGTTTCTTAACCCCCCGCACAGTTAGCATTAATGACGATGACCCCCGAAGGCAGCCCGCGTTTAATTGTCAAGCGTTTGCAATTAATTTGCTGTAAGAAAAACGAACAATTAATTTGGAGGAAAACAAAAAAGAGTAAAAAAAACACAAAAAGATAGGAAACAGTGCGGGAAATAAAAATGCGCATAAATTTGAAGACATTTGGAAATTATTTCGAGTCTGAGAATGGAAATGGGGCCAGTTTCTGTTGAATGGAAGGGAATGTTCTCTATTTTTAGCGGATATTGGTTAGGAGCCCCTTTTGTTTAATTGAAACTAATTGCTTGGATTACTTATTTCACTGCCATTCGTTTTATTTGGTGTCTGAATAATATAATTACTTTGCCTTGTCTATTTTTTGGCAAAGAACTCTAGGTTGTTAGTCCCGACGGCTTTTCCTATTGGAAAATAGTGTACTTGTATAGATTTCTGAAATGAATATTGATATTTCTCGGATAGCTGAAGTCTATCTTTGGATTTCTTACCTTTTATTAACTTTAAAAAACTGTAAACTCTAGTCACTCACACTGCCTGATACGTATTAAAGTTGTTAAGAGAGGTCAAGTTTAACGCTAGTTTTAAACATATTTTTTAACGATCATACAAATATATATTAAGAAATCCGATTTTAAAAAGGACTTGGAAGGTTTATTGGGTGATTAGCTTTTTGTCTGACACAGATTCATTTTGAAATATAATGTAAAAATGTCCATAATTTATCACTAGTAACGTTATATGCTACAAAATTTGTTAATTTAGTTTTATTTTGGAATCTTTGAAATTGTTTTTATCATCTTAACACCTAAATTTATTCTTCTGTTTAGTTTGTTTCCTTAAATCATGAATATGGATTTGAAAAAAGGCTGAACTTTTAGAGCACTTTAAACTGCAAGTGTTTAATTCCTGCCGCTCCACAGTTGAGTCGAACTGTAATGCCAGCCAATTTGCAATTGTCCACACGTCTTAGCCAAGTTGAAGGCAAACGCTGACACCTACGGGCCCAACAAACAACTCCAAATCCTTTTAATTGAAACAAATGTGAATTGCTGCAACAAACAGGGGAGAACAAAGGAGGAAATAAATAGTAGCAGAAAGCGGCAGAAGTGCCGGCAGCACAAAGGCGTCAAGGCGTCTGAAGACAAAGGGCCAGGGGTCTATTAACGAAGAATCGAAAATCGAAGCCAATTGCCGTCGCAGCAGGATGCTAAACGAGAAAGGAATCGCCGGCGACCACCGCAGGCTCAACGCTCGACTTTAGCCGCAGTGGGTCCATGGTTCTCCGACCTTATCCGGGACCCTTTTCCGAGCTAGAATCTCCTACCTGAGGCTCCCGGCGGGAGAGACCGGCTGTTGATAAGGACTAATCACACAAATATTTGAGCATTCGGTTTGTGATTGAGTCTCGCCGCGAGCGGCGCGTTTGATTCCCCGCGTTTAGCGCTTCTGTATTTTTTATAATTCTAATTTCTTCTGCCCATTTCCCCTTTGTTCTCGGCGGCTATTAGTGTATCTATTAGATACAGACGCACAGAGGAACTGCGTGGGAAAGCCGCCGTGTTAATTATTCAAGGTCCTTGAGTCGTTGAATCCTGCGCGGGGAAAGACAATTTACACCTGTGCTTGCTCCTCCCTTGCTCCCTCTTTGAGTTTCCATCAGTGTGTGTGGCTTCATTCACACGCTGATAAACTCCTGCGGTGAAAGTGCCGGGAAAGGGTTCATTAATATTCAAATTCAAATGCGGGGCGACGATTTCTTTGATTTATCGGTTCGACGGCAGCTGCCGGATAATGGTGGACAAAGCAGCCGGTGCAGCTGAGTCACTTACTTCGCCCGGAAACGATAGATTTTCTATAATTTAGATTGTCGTTGTCTATGATCAGATAGATAATGGCTCATAAGTGTTACCTCGGCAACTGATTAAGCTTGAGTTGGTACTCAAGTGGGAAATATGGAATGATTGGAGGTTTATGTAGAATGAATGGCATTAGTTAGTTTTATGTATCTCGTAATTTAGGGTAATGAAATGAACAATATCAGAACGTGTACAACTAGATTTTGAAAAACTTTTGCCCTATTTTATATGCCTAAAATAATTCTTTTATTTAAAAAATATCTATATGATTTAAAGTGAATCTTTGAATGTTTTGGAGTTTTCAGTTTGGTTTTCTTTGCCGGATTCCATTTGATACCTTTGAAAGTCGTAAGCTGGATATGGAAAAACCATTAAGAATAAACTCCCTAACCAAATACTTTGAGAAAGTCACGTTTAACAATAACATTTGAAGTTTTTGAAGTCCCTTTACTAAATTTATGTATAGTATGGACATCGTATTACCTCCCTTGCCATAAGCCCACCAACTACCATAACAACGACTTGTCTGTAATTGTCAATTAGCAAGCTTTCAACGGCAGCCACAGCCCGAAGTCACAGCTTCCATAAACATATTTATTTTTGTAAATTTTTTTGTATTTGCCCTGAGCCTCCAGCGATTTGCATATGCCACGGAGTCACTTTCGGTTCCGATCTCCAGCCAACCAGCGACCCACGCAGCATTGACACATGCCTGTCACTCCCACTTGATGTTGCGCCTGTGCGGCAGATACAAAAACAAAATAATAGATTGGAATCGACTGGCTGTTTGGTAGCATGTCGAAAATTATATTACTACCGATGGCTAGACAATAATTATGCATTTAAGCCGCCTTTACTGTGAGCGCTCGACTTTGGGTGTGTTCGATTGACCCAAAAATATTGAAAATGCTTGGGAGTTAGCTATGCTGGATTAACGCTTGACTCGGCTGGTAAGTCATTATTTCCAATTAGTTTAAGTGCAAATAAATGTGGTTTCTTTACTGGTATTACATGAAAAGTTATTGGTATTTTAGAGCTTGAAGCTTGGCTAAAAATTCTACAAATATTCCCACAACTCATAGTTTCCACCAAAATAAGCTACCAACTGGCCATATTTCTAGCTTAAATCTTGATTAGCCAAGTTGTGGTCATTAGTTTATTGTTTAGTTCCAAGAAATGTCCGCCTTTGACTCGAGAATCAAAGAGAAAGTCCTCCGTTTTGCACCGAAATAAAGCAAAAAGAGTGGAAAAACGGTAGAAAAGAAAACTCATCAAAGAGAAAAGTAGTTAGACACAAAAGACACTTGAGCTGTAGCGACCATTAAACATTGCCAATTTCACAGTAATCATCGCCATGGCCAAGAAAGCCCTGGCCGAACAAAAGGTGGCCCAGAGGAAAAAGTAGCAGAGCGAAGTAAGCCGTTTAGGGGGCCACCCACAAAGACTTGGACTTAAAGTCAAAGACCAGGCCAAGAGACACCGCTTTTGGGCCAACTTGGGCAGCCTCCGTTGGGCACGCTAATCAAGAGGGGATGGCTAAGAGCTGAGAGCTAAGAGCTAACAGCTAAAAGCCAAAACCAAAAAGCAAATGCGAGACACAAATCAAACGCTCGATGGAAAGCACAAAAACGGAAAACAATGAACAAGCGCATGCTAATTAAAGCGATGCTCAAATTGAAATGTTTAACTTTTTCATCTTGGTTTCTATTTTCGGGGCTTGTGCTTTCGTCTCAATCTGTTGCCTCTTTTTCTTTGCCTGGCTATGATCCGCAGCAGAGCAGTTCGATCCGGGCCAGCAGGTACACACTGGAAAAAATACTACTACATTTCAAGCTTAACAGAATGCATTTTATTAATATTAAGTGGTTTCTACTTAGTCACCTTTAGAAATATACATTTTATGTCTAAATATTAGTCCTTAAGATTACCAGATAGGGTCTGGCCTAAGCCTAAGTTTATATGAATAGTTAACTAAGTAAATTCATTTTGGACGATTTTGGTAAGAGTAATCTTATTTTCTAACTTCATTTTTAATGACAAAACATGTTAGACACATAGAAAATGGATTTAAAACCTTACCTTAATTTAACTTTGATTAGAAAGTGTATTGTCTTAGTTAAAGTATTTTTCCTTAAAGACTTTAAGTACACAAAATATATACATTATAACTCAAAATAATTCCTTTAGATTCCTAAATCAAAATACTTTTCTTTCTTTTGCTCTGCCGCCCTTCAAAATTCCCAAGCCAGCGACGTGCCACACGGCGTATACGCATCGAGCGATGCTAAGTCAATATTGGATCTCCTTTGCACCTCCACGTAGATGTGGTAAGGGCTTGGGGGAATTCTGGTATTTACATGCGATAGAGAACACTGTTTGGATACTTTTTCGACTGAATGCCGCACACAAATATTTGTGCGATGGCCTCTTAATTGAGTTAATAGACTTGGACGAGAGAGTGCGCGTGGCCAGCGTTGATTTTGACCGACGTGTGATAATTACAGCGCTGCCCCAGCTGCGGCGGCTTTGATGAGGCT